TACTACTACTACTACTACTACTACTACTACTACTACTACTACTACTCGTCCTCCTCGTCCTGCTTCTCTTCCTCCTCCTCCGCCTCCTCCCGTGCTTCGCTACTCCTCCACCTGCTCCTCCTCCTCCTCCTTTTCCTCCTCCTGCTCATTTTCCTCATGCGCCTCCTCCTCCTGCTCCTCCTCCTCCTCCTCCACTTCTCCCTGTCGCACCCGCAGAAGAGCTTCACGGATTGAGGGCGGGTCGTTTTCAAAATGTGGCTCTCGCCCTAGCGCCGCGCACATTCATGTTTTGAAGTTGCAAGAGTTTCACGGATTGAGGGCGGGTCGTTTTCAAAATATGGTTCTCGCTGTAGCGCCGCGCGCAGGTTTGTAAAATTGCAAGAGTTTCACGGCATGATGGCGGGTCGTTTTCGAAATGTGGCTCTCGCCGTAGCGCCACGCATACTCGTTTTTAACATTTGCAACCGTTTCACGGGATGAGGGCGGGTCGTTTTCAAATTGTGGCTCTCGTCTGCGCTCCGCGCGCATTCGAGTTTTGAAATTTGCGAGTGTTGCTCGGGTTCCCGTAGTGAACGCACCAGAAATAGTGTTTAATGGGCATGTGTTCCAACACCAGGGGAGAAGGATGTGGATGATGAGGAGGAAGAGGAGGGGGACCCCCCCTCCTACATACGGTGGTGGAAATGGAAAACAAGCCAACCACGTGTTTTGGAAGGATTCAAGGTTATGAGGGCGCAACAGTTACGTTGATTTGCGGTGTTGAAGTCCCAGGAATGGCGTTCTGGCACGATTCAAGATCGTCAAGATGCAACAGTCAGGCTGAGCCGTAGCGTTGGAATCCCGAGAACAATGTTTTGGCATGCTTCCGGGTCTTCAAACTGTTGTCTTCCAACGAGGCAGTTCCCTCAGTGGAAAAGAACCACTGTAGGGCCATATGAAGAGGGAGCTTGGAGTGAGGGTTTATTCCAATGTCGTTGATGACACTTGGGTTTACACTGGTCCTCCTCCCCATCCTCCTCCTCCTCCCCCCCCCTCCTCCTCCTCGTCCTCCCCCTCTGCATCCTTCCCACCGCCCTCCTCAACGATCGAAAGTCCAATTACATTCGCGTGCCTTGCTTGATTTTATCCTCCAGAGGCCTATGGGGACTCCTCGAGCACATCCGCACACGCCCGGACGCCTCTGAAGACCTCCAAGGACTTCATCCTCTGTCCTCCTCCTCCTCGTCCTCCACTCCCTCGTCCCCCTCCAACTCCGCTTATTTTCCTCATCAACTTCATCTTCAGTCTCATTATCCTCCACCTCCACCTCCTCCACCTCCTCCTCCTCCTCCTCCTCCTCCTCCTCCTCCTCCTCCTCATAATACTTCTCCGCCTTCCACCCCCCCAGGTTTTGTCGAGCTTCATCTCGCTTCGCCTCTCCCTCATGTTCCCTCCTCCTCCTCCTCCTCCTCCCCTCCTCCTCCTCCTCCTCCTCCTCTCCTCCTCCTCCTCCTCCTCCTCCTCCTCCTCCTCCTCCCCCCCCTCCCCCTCCACCTCCTCCTCGTCCTCCTCCTCCTCCTCCTCCTCCTCCTCCTCCTCCTCCTCCTCCTCCTCTCCTCCTCCTCCTCCTCCTCCTCCCTCCCTCCTCCTCCTCCTCCTCCTCCTCCTCCTCCTCCTCCTCCTCCTCCTCCTCCTCTTCCTCTTCCACATCCATTATCCTCTTTATCATCCTCTGGTTGCTCCTCCTCTTCATCCGTCCCTTCCTCCTCCTCCTTCTCCTCCTCCTCCATCTCATCCTGGCCATGCCTCGCCGTCGTCGTCGCCGTCGCCACCCTCCTCCTACTCCTCCTCCTCCTCCTCCTCCTCCTCTCCCTCCTCCTCCTCCTCCTCCTCCTCCTGCTCCTCTCCTCATCCTCATCCTCATCCCCATCCTTATCCTCATCCTTATCAGCATCCTCCTCAGCCTCCTCCTCCACATCCTCCTCCTCTTCCTCCTCCTCCTCCTCATCATCATCATCATCATCATCGTCACCATCATCATCATCATCATCATCATCATCATCATCGTCATCATCGTCATCATCGTCATCATCCGCATCCTCATCCCTATCCTCATCCTCATCCTTATTATCATCCTCAACATCTTTCTCGTCCTCCTCCCCATCCTGCTTCATGATGAGTTTGTCTTTTAATTGGGGGGGGTAACGCCCGTTACGGGAGGGGGGGTCCGGCCCCAAGTTGGGGGTAACGGTAACGCGCGGCGGGGCCTTCGCACGGGCCCTGGTACTTATTACCAGCACAACTGTCGGCACGGTAGGCTTCGTCGTCGTCGTCGTCGTCGTCGCCGCTGGCGTCGTCGTCGAAGCCGACCGTGCCTGTACACACGACACAGGCTCTGTACACCGCGGTGCCTTTGTACACCACAACTGCGGCAGAAATGGCATGTGTGTGTGCACCACGGCGACTGAGCACATCATGACAGGCTGGTGCACCACAGCGCCCTTGTACATCTCACTGTTGGCGCACACCACGGCGCCCGCGTGCACCACAGCTGCTGTGTCAACGCCCCGTGTTTGCACCAGAATGCCAGCGTACACCACAAAGCTTGTGTACACCTGTAAGGTACCGGCGGAGCGAAAGTCCAGAAGATCGCTCGGGGCCCAACCGTGGCCCTTTCATTATGTGAGCTGCTTGTGGATATCAGTTTGTCTGGTTCAAAAAGCGCTCGGACCTGTTGAGCCCACAGCGCCTGTGTACTCCATTGCGACTGTGTACATCATGGGAGTGTGAGACGTGGCGCATGTGTATACCACATGGCATGTGTGCACCACAAAGCTTGCGTACGGTCTTTTTGTGCGGAGTGTAAACCACGCACTGTGGGGGCGCGCGGGGCGGCGGCAGCCTAGGGAATACAGGGAGCAGGAGCTCCCTGCACAGGCACAAGGCCCTTGAGACATGGGTCGACGGCTGGAGCGTGCACGCGGGTGCGTCGTCGTCGTCGCCGTCAGTTGCGACGGCGACCGGGGGGGCGACGGCGGCGGCGGCTGCGACACGGGCGGCGGCGACGGCGACCACGACGACGACGACGACGACGACGACGGCGGCGGCGACGGCGACGACGCCGACGGCGGCAAACGGCGGCGGCGGCGGTGAAGGTGACCGCCGCCGCCGTCACCGCCGTCGTCGTCGCCGCCGATGCCGCCGTCGCCGCCGCCGCCGCCGCCGTGTCCGCAGCCAGTTGCCGAAAGCTTCAGCAGCGCTTGGGGCCCACTTGCTGGATACACATGCGGGGGGCTGGCGTGACCAGCCGCGCGAGGTAGGAGGGCCGAGCGCTGGAAGGACATGCGGCCACATCCGCGTGCAGGTCTCGCCCAGTCCAGCCCCTTGCACCAGCACAGGGAGAATGGAGGGAGGACAGTGGTAGTAGTCATAATGATATTGTGAGAGTGCACCGGCTGGTTGCGCCATGGCTTGCCCGATGCGTTACACCACACGTTGTGCTTGCGTACAATTACCTGCGCCATAGGTTGAGCCATAAGCTGCGCCCCCATAGGAAGATGATCCCCCTCCTCCGATCCCCCTCCGATCCTCCATCCTCCATCCTCCTCCTCCTCCTCCTCCTCCTCCTCCTCCTCCTCCTCCTCTTCTGCCCCCTCCTCCTCCTCATGCCCTCCTCCGATCCCCCATCACCTCCTCCTCCGATCCTGTTCCAACCCTCCTCGTCCTCCTCGTCCTCCTCATCCTCCTCCTCCTCCTCCTCCCTCTGCCTCGCTCCCCCCTCCCCCCAGGAGGTGAGAGGAGGTGGAGGGCACGAGCACTGGAGGGAGTGCAGAAGCAAGGCAAAGGAGGTGGAGGGGCCAGGCCGGAACCCGTTGAAAGGTTCGCGCCGAGGGATGCGAACCTCGAACCTCGAGGATCGAGGCATCCTGGCCCTCGAGGGCCTTCGTCGTCGCCGCGGCTGGACGCGGCTCGGGAAACTGGTGCGTCTGAGCCCCAGTCGGGCCCCGTGGACCCATTTTGAGTTTGCGCCGAGGGTCGAACCTCGAACCTCGAACCTCGAACCTGAGCACACATGTGAGCGTCACAGCATGCCTGCCTGGACGGAGGGGGGGTCCGCACCCCCGTCCCCGTACGCTCGTTACCGTTACGGGGGGGGAGGGGGGGGGACCCCCCCCCCCCGTAACGGGCGTTACGGGTCCGAGCAATAAAAAAACAAGCTCGATTGGGCACGCCATGAGCAACCAACCAGTGCCTGCCCGCGAGCAAACCAAGATGGGGAGGAGGAAGAAAAGGATGACAAAACACAACCTTGTTGGTGATACCAGAAGATCCCGATACCGCTGCTCCCGGATTTCTGCCGGTGTGATCTCTGACCAGAACTTCGAAGCAAATCCAGCGGTGGCGACGAGGGCCTCCCAGGAGGCAAATAAAACGCGCAAAAGAGGCGAGGGTAGCACCTTTTCCTCCTCTGAGGTCCAGCGCGCCTCCAATCCAGGTGGCAAGCGAGGCCGTCACCGAAGCCTCGCTTGCTGCCAGATCCTTCGCCAACACGGACTTCGAGGCGGATTTGTCGGTGACAAGACGAAGGCCTCCCAGGAGGCCCAACAAGGCGAAAAGAAGGAAAGTTTACAGTATCGGCACCCCAGATTTCGCAATAAAAGGGTGGTGGTCTAAATTCGAGGGGGGAGGTCTGATTTGCGCGGTCTTGGAGGGTTCCAGCGGGGGGTCTGGGCAACGGGCCGCCCTTTCACGGCTAATCTGGGGGGGTCTAGGTTGCGACCCCCTCCCTTGTATGAGAAAATCTGAAACACATTTTCTAGACGAGCGCGTTCCACTACTCGCAAAGTGACTACTCGCAAATGGCCTGGATCCCCCGCGGGTGATCTACGACAAATTGCATCAGAGCAGACATGTGTTTTTCCAGACGTTTGCGCGTAGGCACTTTGCGAGTAGTGGAACGCGCTGTGATTTTCCTCCTCGGACCGACGGCCCCGCGCCCGCTCGGCCCCGCACTCCTCGCGGGCGGCGCCCGCCCGTCGACGAGCCGCCGTCGGGCCCGGCCGCGGGCCGCGCCGCTTGAAGCGGGGACCGCGCGGGCCGGAGGGCGGCGGCACGCTCCGCCGGAAGCTCGCCGAGCCGCGGGGGCGCGCAGCCCCGGAGGTCCTGGCGACTCGAGCTTTTCGAGCCAAGGCGTTTTCGCCCCACGTCGGGCCCCGGGGCCCTCGGCATCGGCCGGCTTCGCGATCTAAGAGTGGACCAGACCGCGATCTGTGTAGTCCACTCTGGATCGTGCATCGGTCCGTTCTGTGGGATCGCCCGACGTCTGGCCCCAGGGCCCTCATAGATCGATCCAGGCGGCGCCCGCCCAGCGACGATCCGGCGGCGCCCCGCTGCCGTGGTTGTCGTGGTCGTCCTCGTGGTGGACGCCGTCGTCGTCGTGGTTGTCAACGTCGTGGTCGTCGTCGTCGTCGTCGTCGTCGTCGTCGTCGTCGTCGTCGTCGTCGTCGTCGTCGTCGTCGTCGCTCGAAGGGGACACCGCGCGGGCCGCGCAGCGCGCCGCGCGGGCCGCCGTCGGGCACCGCGCGGGCCGCGACACTCGCAGCGGGCCCCGCGGCGTGCGCCCGCCGCGCGCCGCGCGGGCCGCACCGCGGCGGGGGCCCGCACCGCGCGGGCCGCGACACTCGCAGCGGGCCCCGCGGCGTGCGCCCGCCGCGCGCCGCGCGGGCCGCACCGCGGCGTGCGCCCGCGGCCCCGCAAGGGCCGCGGGGGGGGCCCAGCGCGCGGCCCCCGCACCCCGGCGCGCGGCGCGGGGGCGGCCGCCGCGCGGGCCGCGCCGCGCCGTGCGCAGCGCGGCGCCCCCCCTGTGAGGCGGGCGCGCTCCACGACTCGCCGACGTCCTCGCAGCCTCGAGGCCTCCTCGCCGTGCGCGCGCGCCGCGCCCGATGTCCTCGCAGCCTGGATCCCTCGATCCCTCCTCGGCGTCGGCGTCGGCGTTTCGGCGTCGGCGTCATCGCCACGACCATGTCCCCCATTGGATCGAGTTGAACTGAACTAACTTGAACTGAACTGAATTGAATTGAATTGGATGAAGTTGGTATGAGCGCATACCCACGTTCGCCACAACATCTTGCGCGGAAGTGAGCGGCCACCGATCCAAATTCTCTGAATGGTATCGGCGCGAATAGGACACCTTGCCATCCTCTGGAGGCATGAATCAAATAGTTGCGCCCGGAGATACATGTATATGAGAGTGGGAAAGGGAGAGAGAGAGAGAAAAAAACAAAAGCAGCGAAAACACGGTATTGATATATATATATGTATGTATATATCCCTCGCTCTCTCTCTCTCTCTCTTTCTTTCGCTCTCCCTCTCACTCTGTATATATATGTGGAATACAGCACTGCCAGTATCTCTATCTGCCTCTCTCTCCCTCTCTCTCCCTCTCTCTCTGCCTGTATATAGCAGGTCAACAGGACTGCAGGACTGACATGGGCGCAGATCTAACGTCGCCGATCATCCACCCTACGGGGAGGTGAGTAGACACCGATGCCGCTTCGCTGACGGGGGGATGGGGTAAGACAGCTCCCTCCCCAAAATATGACAGGTGATGGCACTGGCATGGAGAGAGACAAAAAGAGAAAGAGATTTGAAAAAAGACAGAGAGAGCTGGAGGAGGGCCAGAGTAAACCCAGGATGCATCGATGGTGCTGCGAAACATAATGCCGTGCCAAGCTCGGCGCTACAGCGAGAGAGCCCGATTTTGAGAATGAGCTGCCCGCCGTCCTTGCATCTGCTGAAAGATGTTAAGACGAATATGCGCGCGGCGCTGAGAGTCCATTTGTTTTAAGGGTTTGCCCTCAATCACTCTAACTGTTGCGAGTTTGGGAAATGAATGTGCGCGGCGCTTAGGTGCGAGCCCAAGCCCGAAAAGGTGTGGGCCTCCGTTCTTGTAGATGCTGGACAAGTGTGGCTCCATCATCACAAATGGTTCAGCAGGCTAAGGCGAAACGCCCGGACCAGCACGTCTGGTGGTGCGGAAAAGATGGAGTCATCTGACCATCCGGAAAAGCAAAGGAGGGGGAGGCGGAGGATGAAGAGGAGGAGAGGAGGAGAAAGGGTCCGAGGAGCGAGAGGTGACGGAGAGAGCGACTGGGATAGAGAGAGAGAGAGAGACAAGAGAGGAGAGGCGGACGAGCAGCAGCAACCAATCGCGAATGCAATCCGAGAGATAGAGGGAGAAAGAAAGGGAGAGCTTGGAGGCGACCCGGGGGTCTGAATCCAGATCCCCTCGAAATCGGGCCCCAGACCCCTCACGGGGTCCATCGGGTGCAATTTGTCGCCCCCCTCCTGCTCGCCAGAACCAATGCTGGGCCACCTCAGACCCCCAACCGGCTCCAAGAAAGAGAGATAGAGGCTTCCCAGATGAGGTCGGAGTAGATGGGGTCGGAGGATCGCGCCGCATCGTCGATGCAGTACCGAAGCATCGGCGATGCACCAGCGATGCATCGGCGACGACGGCGCGGTGCATCGGCGACGTCGGCGTGGAGAAAAGCGGGCTCCACATCGAGCCGCATCGGCGATGCGTCGGCGACGCGGCGCGGTCCTCCCACCCCGTGCTCCTCGGATTCCAACAAGGGAGGCCTGGACGAGAGCAACCTCTGTCTCTCTGGCCAGCGGCGCGAGGGGAGGGCCTGCGACCGCTCCCGGGAAGGGCCGCCCCTCGCCGCCCCCGCGCAGCCCGCGCGCGTAGGCGCAGGCCAGGGCCAGCGCCAGCCGCCGCCTCCGTGGGCTGCCCGCATTCTCGCGGGCGCCCAGGAAGAACAGCGAGTTCCGGAGGAGCAGCGCGGCCGCCGCCACGCCCGCCTGGCGCCGCCAGAGCCGAGCCCACTGCCGCGGGGGCGAGTCCCGGGAGCTCGGGGAGCGGTGGAGAAGGATGATCTGCCGGCCCACGCGGACGGGCAGGTGTCCACATCCACATCTCTCCTCGAGATCCCGGGGCACGACTCCAAAGCGGTGGTTGTGGACACGCTCTGGCGGCGGACGCCTGCTGCGTGCCTAACCAATGGGGGGCCCCTGGGAGACGACCTGGCAACCTGGGCCGCACAGCGCCGCTCGGCAGTGGATGGCGCGTTCGGTGAGCGGCGCTGCGCGGTGCTGCGCGGTGTTGCGCGGTGCTGCGCGGCTGTGTTGTGCGGATGTGTTGCGCGATGCTGCGCGGCTGCGTTGCTCTGTCGAGCTGCGAACTGCAGTGTCCAAGAAACCTCCACAGGCATCCGATGTCTTGCTTTTGTTCGTTACGGGGTCCCAAAAAGCCCGATCCTTTCACAACTGTCAAAAATTTCGGCGCGATTCTCTTTTGACCGTCCCGGGGTCTGGTGAAGGCCAGACCAAAAATTGTCAAAAACCTCCCGCCGTAAGTTTTGTCACGGCCTCTTGGGGTACACACGGCACTGATACCGCTACTCCCCGGGCCTCTCCCGGGCTGCGTTCTTTCGCAGCGAACCCAGCCGTGACGGCGAAGACCTCCCAGGAGGCACATGAAGACGAAAGCAAGGCAAAGGCATACGAGAACGACGCGCATGCACCATACCGTGTCTGGAATCCCTTCATGCCCCGCCCCAGCGCGGTACGGTGCATATTGTTCCGGCTCTGGGGGCCGACGAACTACTTATGCACCGTACCAGTCCTAGGTCGAGGATCCATAACGCCTCGAGAGGAGCCCACGCGGTACGGTGCGCACTTGGCGGGTTCCAGCAACCCTGTACCCGATAATGTTGCTCTCTTGGGGCGCATGTTTTATTTACGCCCGCTTCCGCCGGCTTCCGCAGACCTCCCTTTTTAGCCGCACTACCCCCTGCTGCGTCAGGCTCTGGAGATCTTGTGAAGGGCTAGCTGAAAGCCTACCGCAATCGCGGCGCCATCGGATCCGTAATCCATGTGAGAGCCCACGGAGGCACGTGAGGCGGACGACAGGCAGACCTTCCGCCAGCTTCCGCCGACGGCGGCGGCCTCGTTCTGCGTCCGCCTCCCTCCAACGACGAAGGAGTGGCCGCCGCCTCGAAGGCGAGGCTCCTTCGGGAACCCGCCTCGGCCGCCCGCGGAGGGCCGGCGGCATTGGCACACGCGAGGGACAGACTCAACTCAGGTCCAAGAAATCCGGCCGGACGGTCGAAAGTGCATGTTTATGCCGTGGCTTCTTCTTCTCCGAACGCTAGGCGGAATCCGAGCAGGTGGGGTCGGAGGACCGCGCCGCGCCGCCGATACACCAGGGAGGCATCGCCGATGCATCGGCGATGCCTCGGTGGCGTCGGCAGCGCATCGGCGACGTCAGCGCGGGGAGGACACCAGGCCCCACAACGAGCCGCATCGGCGAGGCGTCGGCGAGGCAGCGCGGCCCTCCGACCCCATCTCTGGCCATCGCTCGGACGCCCATGCCCCGTGCACTCCTCGGCGTCGTGCGCGCATTTTCTTCGCAGGCCGGCCCAGAATGCTCCTCGGTGGCCCTCCCCGGCATTCCTATGGGCCGAATTACCACGAGATGTTCTGAGAACCCCCAAATGTTCTCAGAACGAGCACAGAGTTCGCAGAACATAAGCCCGATGTGTTCAAGCAAGACAACTCCAGCCAAACATGTTCGGAGAGAACATGTCGCGCAGACCACGCCAGGTTCTTAGAACATCGCTTGGTGGGCTGCAAAAGGAAGCCAGGACGCTCCGCCACTGCTTGACAGGCGTAGGCGCCTGGCGCGCGCCGTCGCCGAGCTCCGCCGGCAGCTCCGCCGCGGCGGCGCAGAGGCCCCGCCGCAGGTGGGCGCGGAGCTGCACCACCGCGCGGCGGGCCGCCAGTACCCTCGGGCTGCTGGGCGCCCGCGGGGCCGCCGCGTCCATGGCCTCGGGGTCGCAGGAGGCCGCCGTGAGCCCTCCTCCGGCCACGCACAAGAGGGACCCCAGGCAACGAGTGATCTCTTCGGTGTGCGACCCTCGGGGAGGCCAGAAAGACGAGGCCAGGACGAGGACAACTCCGGGTGGGGATGAATCGAGGATCTCCGAGATCCCGCGGCTCGGGAAGATGTCTCGGGCGCCGCGGCCTTCCCAGAGCGTTCCAGAACGCCCCGAGGGCGTTCCAGAAAGCTCTGCAAGGGATTCAGCCTCAGCCTAGCTCCGTCCGTCCATGGCCTCGGGGTCGCAGGAGGCCGCCGTGAGCCCTCCTCCGGCCACGCGCCTCGAGGGACCCCACAGGCAACGAGTGACCTCTTCGGTGCGTGACCTACCGCATCGCGCTCAGTCATCTATTGTTTTTGTAAAGACAAAAACATGTTGGCGCTCCGCACGGATTTCTTCGATCTGCGCTGGACCCCCTCCCTGGCGCGCGGAGCGCGACAGGGGCGGCGCCAGACGCGCCGCCGGGGGGTGCGCAACGCGGATCCCAGAAATCCGAGAGGAGCGCCAATGATCTATGCTCGTGGCGCTTTCTCCCCTTCGAGTCTCGAGACCCCCCTGCGCCCGCCCCAGAGGTCGCTCCGGCGAGGGGCCACCCTCGCGCGCAGCCGACTCCTCCGGAGAGGAAGAGGAAGTCCCCCCGCCTTCACCCGACAGCGCCAGCGGGCGCGAGACGCGCCAGCGGGCGCGGGGCGCACTGGGCGCAGGGCGAGTGGAGAGACAGAGAGCGGCCGCGGCGGAGGGAGGAGCAGGAGGCCCGACCGCCGAGAATCGACGGGTGAAGGGCGCGCAGGCGGCCGCGGGCGCCGAGGAGGTTTGCAGCAAGCAGAGGAGCAGCAGGTGGACCGTGCCGTCGAAGTAGAGAGACGAGCAAGAGAAAGAACACGCAGATCTCACTCTCCCCGAAGGTCGAGGTTTTCTGACGTAATCGTCGGTTCCCACAGGTGTTCCAGCCTCGGGATGCTTTTCGGTGGATGCGCCTCGCCGAGAACGTCCCGGGGGTGCCCGGATCGTCCCCGCCGGCCGCCGAAGACCCGGGTTACGGCCCGAAAACCAAGTCGCCGACGATACCTTTCTGTTTCCCATCCGGGGTATTGTCCCCGATTTCGGACCCCGGGGCCCGCGCTCGGGCCCCATGCAAGCCCCTCAAACATGAATCAGGCACGAGAAAGCCACGTCTGGGGGAGGGGCCGGGAACTCCCGGGGCCGCAGGTTGAAACAAGAAGTCGGAGGATGTCTGGGAACGGCATAGGGCACAAAGCACATACACAGGGACTTTCGTCCCAAGTGTTTTTTTTCCGCGGACCTGGGGCCCGGCGAGTGCCCCCGAAGGCCGAGAGTTGGCAAAAGCACCCGTCTTGACAATGTTTTCAAGAACGTGGATGTCTGGACCCCGACCTCTACAAAGAAGAGCATGTTCTGGAGAACCCATAGGGAACGATACCGCTACTCTCCGGACCTCTCCCGGGGCGCGTTCTGACAAGGACTTCGAGGCGAATCCAGCGGTGGCGACGAGGACCTCCCAGGAGGCCGAAAAAGGAGAAAACGAGCGAAATGTGGCGGTACGGGTAACTTTTCCTCCTCTGAACTACAGAAGCCTATAAGAACCGTGAGGTCCGGGAGCCTGCGGCCCAGAACTTTACTTAGAGTGCCGCGACGGCGGCCCGTGCGAAGCGCTGCGCCAAGCAAGCGACTGGCGTGCCGCTCCCCTCGGCAGGCCGGGAGGCTGGGAAAGGCTCGGGCTGTTGACGCTCGGGGACTGGGACGTGGGTAGCGTGTCGCGCCGAAGCATGGTGGGCCAGAACCGACTCCCGTTTCTTCTTCGACTCCTGGCGGCGCCAGCGCAGGGACGAGGTCCAGGGCCTCGTGCAGGTCCCTGTCGTCCCGCAGCTCCAGGTAGCTCAGCAGGATGAAGGACTCCAGGTAGGTGTGGTCCTCCAGGCAGAAGCCGATCCCCGTCTTCCCGAAGTCGATGAGGAAGTGGTTGTCGTTGGAGTCGACCATGATGTTGTCCCCGTGCAGGTCGCCGTGGACGTAGCACAGCCTGTACCAACCTCGGGTTGCATCCCGGAGCATCTCGAGCTCGGCGCGGGACTCCAGGAGGCAGCTGCAGACATTGGGCAGCCGCAGCGGATGCCCCTCCGCGAAAGACAGCACGCCGTCGCCAGCTGCCTCCTGGCCCAGCAGCGAGTCCACGTGCGCCCGCACGCTGGACGCCAAGCGCCCATCCCCAGGAGCCTCCACGAGCGGCGCACGTATCTATCATCCACGCCCTCGCGGTCTGGACAATGAGGCGTGATCCCGTCGGCTGTCGGGGATCGACGTTTGATTCATACTCCTGCTGAAGTCCCCAACCGTGGCCGCCAGGGGGGGCAGGGCATGGACAAAAAGCTCGGCTTCCAGAGGTCGGATGTTTTGTTCAGCATGCCCCCACTCCGCCCCCTCGTGGAGTTCTGGCCTGAGCACGGTGCGGAAAAAACGTCGATCGCCTATCCCAAGCCGCCGCATGGATGCACTCCGCGCGGGACATATACGAAATTGTACCAGAGATAAACCCAATCAGATGTGTGTTAAAGGCTATAGGGCTATGGGGCTATGGGGCTATAGGGCTGTAGGGCTATAGGACAATAAGGCTATGGGGCTGTGGGGCAATAGGGCTATAGGTCTTTAAGACAATTGGGCTATAGGGCTATAGGGCTATACGGCTATAGGGCTAGGGCTATAAGGCTATCAAGCTATAGGGCTATTAGGGCTAGTATAGGGCTATAGGGCTATGCGGGGTACAGGGCTACTAGGGCTATCGGGCTATAGGGCTATAAGGCTCTAGGGCTATACGGCTATGAGGCTATTAGGGCTCTAGGGCTTTAGAGCTACAGGGCACCTGGGCACCGGGGCACCTGGGCACCTGGGCACCCGGGCACCCGTGCACCCCCGCGCACCCGGGCACCCGGGCACCTGGGCACCCGGATCCGCCGCCGAAATCGGCGGCACACCTCACCTAACCATATAAATCCGCTCAGACCCCTACAGTGGCAAGCTCTGATTGGGGGAAAAACCCTCGTGAACTCGTGAATCCATGGGGTCGCGGCCCAGGGGCCCGGCCTGCGAGGCCGTGGATACAGTCGAATCTCGGCCAGAAGAACATCCTTAGAGAACACGAGACCCTCCGCCGGCCAAAACACACAGAACATCCAAGGGTACCCTCCCCAGGGTGCATAAGAACATCCAACAAACACCAGGAACAGTATGGCACCCTCCCCGAACCGACCTCCATCGTATAACCTGGTCCGACTGCATAGAGATACGTCTCCCGCCCGCCTTGCGCCACAGCTTCTCCAGCAGGAACGCCGTGCGCATGTGGAGGCCCCCCTCCGTCCCCTGCTTCCCGCCCGGGAGCCCGGAGCACAGGCCGAGCTCGTCGGCGAGGCTGAACTCCTCGAGCCCGCGGGCCTTCGCGGCGTGCAGCCGCGCCACCAGGCCCGAGAACACGTGGTCCAGCGCGCGGCGAACGCGCCCCAGGGTCTGCCCGGGCTGGGCGGCGGAGCCGGCGTCCTCCGCCATGAGCCGATCGAAGAGCTCCGCGAAGCCCACTGGGCACCCGTCGCTCAGGTCCGCCAGGCTCGTCCAGATGGCCGCCAGGCCGTCGTGCTTGGCGTAGCCCAGCACCTGCGGGCAGTTCCCGCCGAGGAGCTCTCCCATGTATCGCGTGACAGAGAGTTCGCCGTCCAGTTCGTCGGCCGTGCCCATCTTGATGAACGTGGTCGCGCCGGTAGCCTCCGCACCCGCCGAGACCACCTGCGGGAAGGCGAAGAACTTGAGGGCCGAGCTCCAACCCTTGCCGATCTTGAACAGCCTGACCGCGTGAACGTTAACTGGGAGTACGAGGTCAATCAGGAGCTCCTGATCCTCTGTCAGAACGTTGGCTTCGCCTGGGGACTCGATCTCGATCCTGCGGCCCGCTGGCAGCGTCACCTTAGAGGAACAAAACACTGCGTACACATCTACGTTCGGAGCGCCGCGCGGGATTCTTGAATCGGTGCCGGACCCTCCTCCCTGGCGCGCGGAGCGCGCCAGGAGGCACCGCCAGGGAGACCCACCGCTGACCCAAGAAATCTGCACGGAGCTCCAACAATTTATGTTTTTCTGTCTCCTCGACACCAGCAGCTCCGGGCCGTCGGGCAGCAGCCAGCGCAGAGCCGTGCGAAGGCACTCGAGCACCTCCACGCCCAAGACGCTCTCCAGGTGCGAGCTGGTGCGCGCCCGATTCAACTCCCCGATCCGGCCGCTGTAGCCGCAGAGGTCGGGCGCGAGGCCCACCTCTCAACATCGTTTAACCGATCCCTGTCCCCACTGGCGTGGCCTTGGCCCCACTGGCCGGCTTCAATATCCACCTGGGTGTGGACTTTTGCCTGTTCCTTCGGGTTTCGCGGGGCATATCCCCACCTAGGTGAGAGGGCTAGTAGACCTTAGAGGGCCCCAGAAACGAACGGCAAGGCAGCTGTTCTGCCGCTAAAAAAAACTGCCGCTGGAACATGAGAACAAACAAAGGCTCACGGATACGAACAAAAACTGTTCTGGGATTGGATCCGGCACCGCACCCGGGAACAAAACTGCGACGGAGCCGGGGACAAAAAAACGGAGCGGCGACTGGCCACAAACACTGCAGGACAGGAATCGGCCAAGAGCGGCCCGCGGCCCTGTCGCTTCCGGGGCCCGCTGGAGCTGAGGGGTACTGGCGACGCTGGACCTCGGGGACGCCCGCCCTCAGCAGGTCGTGGCACGGGTAGAGCAGCAGCTCCAGCACGCCCCCGCACACGAGCGCGCGGGGCGCCAAGGCCGCCAGCGGTGCCGAGACCCCAGCCGCCACGCGGACCACCTCCACCAGGCCGTTGGCGTCGGCGAGCCTGGGGGGCAGCAGCTCCGACACCATGGACTCCTGTCTGGGGAAGTCACACGCGCACACGCGCACACACGCACACACACACACTCTCTTTGCGTCGGCGGCTAGGCCCAGGCAGAATGACTGCGCTGGAGATGAAGCGTTGGATGACAATCGAACGTGAATTCGCCCATCATGCAGAGAGGGGAAGGAGGCGGCGGCGCCCGGCGCCGATACACACGCAAACACGCGCACACACACACACACACACGCGCGCAAACACGCACACACGCACACACACACACACACACACACACACACGCACGCACGCACACACGCACTCTGTCGAAAACCACGGTGCACGTGCGCGCAGGAACCGATGTTCGGCTCGGGGGAGCGGGATCAGGGGAGCACGAGGGCTTCGGGGAACCCTGAGGGCCCCAGATCATCCCAGCATCCGCGCGCTCCGGAGATGCTGGAGGCCGGATGCTAAGGCTGCTGAACTCCTTCCTGTATGAGGAATACCCTGGACGCCTCGAGCGACAACTTGAGAACACATACACGACGGATCCACGTCGGACGCACGGCGGATGTAGGTCGGACTCACGTCCGATTCACGTCGGACTTCTGTTGGAGCATCGTCGCGCGAACGTCGGCCCAGATCTCACGGAGCGGACGTGAGGAGTCGAAGATTCAATTTTTGAGCGCCGCGCCACGCCTCCAGGATTCTCCTCCTGGCTTCCTAGGGAACACACAAAATAACAATACCATTACTCCCTGGACCTCGCCCAGGATGCGCTGTGACCAAGACTTCGAAGCGAACCCAGCCGTGGCGACGAGGGCCTCCTAGAAGGCCCAAAAGACGAAAACGAGGCAAGGGCAGGCGGCATTGGTACGTCTTCCTCCTCTGATCCTTGCCCGGCAGGCGCACCTCCACGATGCGCAGCCTCCAGAGGAAGAAACAACTGCATAAACATGAACTTTCGGAGCTCCGCGCGAATTTCTCGGATCTGCTCTGATCCCCCTGCATGGCGCGGGGAACGCGCCAGGAACGGCGCCAGAGGCGCTGGAGCCGATCCAAGAAATCCGCGCGGAGCTCCGAAGCCTCTGCCTCTGCAGCTTGTTCTTCCTCGAGCCTCTCCGGCACCAGCGGCGCGGCCCAGCACAGCACCGCCCTGAGGCGCTCCCTCAGCAGCTCCGTCGCCTCCGCGTCCATCTGCACCTCCGCATGCACGCCGTGCAGCACCAGCACCGGCGGCCCCGCGGCTGCGCCGCCTGCGCCGGCGCTGCCGGCGCGCACGGCGCACGCCCCGCGCCGCCGCTGCCACGCCCGGGCGCTGCGCCTGCGGAGGCAGCCGCGCGCCGCCGCCGCTGCCGCGCACAGGCTGCCGCCGCTGCCGCGGCACACGGGCGGCGCCGCCGCGGCGCCTGCCGCGGCCCGCCGGCCCGCCTGCGCGGCTGCTGCGGCGGCCGCGGGCGGCGCGGCTGCAGCGGGCGGCGGCCGGAGCCGGCTGCTGAGCGCCCGCGGAAAGGCCCCGAGCGCGGCCGACAGGCGCGCGCCGGCAGGGCGGGCCGCCATTGGGCGGAGGCGGCGGCCCCAAGGCCGCTCCAAGACGGCTCCAAGTGGCCATGGAGCTCCCCAAGGAGGCCCCCACAAGAGGCCCAGATCCTTCCAGCGCCTAAGGCAAACCGATGACTTTTGCCTTCTCGCCGTTTGTTCGCTTCCGGGGGGCCGTTCAGGCCTCAAACTGGCTCCAAGATGGCCCAAAGAGGGCCCCAAAGGCCAAAAAGCGCATGGGTGGTGGGACTCGCCAGATGTTACAGCTACACAGAGACCCTGAGTCCAGAAATGTTGACGTCTCACTTTTACTTCCACCGCCTTCCGCCGACCCGTCCGGCGAGCCCACCACCGCTTTACATCCACAAGCTTGATCTGGCCTTCAGGCAGAGCCTTTCTGGGACGCCCCAAACCCAGACCCCCGACGTCATGATTGCTTCATGACGTGGACCCCCGGCGGTCTCGACCCATTCCCCGAGAACGGCTTCTCTTCCTGAGTCGTATGTTGAGGATCCCCAGGCCTGGTAAGGGTCGCTGGAAATAGTAGAAAGCATATAATTGTTTCATGGCTCGAGGGAGTCGGGGGATACAGGGGGGGGGGGGCCAAGGAGGGAGAGGGAGTGGTAAGCCTTGGGGCTACGCCGCACAGAAGGCCCCCCCCACGCAGCCCCGGCTGGCCCTAAGAGGCCTCCCAGCGGGTCGGCCCAGGGCGGTCTCAGCACCCCAATCCTGGGGCTCTCCGCGCCCCAGGCCTGGGGCGTTGAGACCAGGACTACCCAGGGCACCTGCGGAGGCCGGCCTGGATTACCTCGGAGGGGTACTTCCCACACCTGCGAGGCCGCGCTTGTGGTCGCAACGTGGACCCCCAGAGGTCTGGAACACTCCCCCATGACTGGCTCTGTACCCCAAGTCGTTGCTTGATGGTCCTGGAGCCCGGGACGGGCCCCCTGCAGAGGCCCAAGATGACGGAAAAACATGCTTGACCCACCAACCCTGATGGTGATGGTAATGCTGTGCCGTGGGCAGTGTTGTGCTGCGCTGCGCTGTGCCGCGCCGCGCAGTGACGTGCCAAGGTACCCGCCAGGGGACGTGCCAGGGGACGCGCCGCGGGACATGGCAGGGGGACGCGTCGCGGAACGTCCCAAGGGGCACGCCAAGGGACGTGCCAGGGGAAGTGCCAGGAGACGCTCCGCGAGACGTGCCAGGGGGACACGCCACGGAACGTGCCAGCGGATGTGCAAAGGGACGCGCCGCGCGACGTGCCAAGGGGACGCGCCACCCGACGCGCCACGGAACGTGCCAGGGAACGTGTAAGGCGACGCGCCAGAGGAATGGAAAAAGAAATGTGAAGCATGGAAATTGTTCAAGACACCAAATTTCGGCGACGGGCAACTGCAATGCTCCAAGTAGCGATGGTAATGTACAGTGCCAGGGGCTACGCTGTGCTGTGCTGTGCTGATGAACTGAGACGCGCCATGCCGAAGTGCTGTGCTCTGTTGCATTGTGGATCAGGTCGTCCGTGGCGTCAGAACCCCGATCGAACTGGTCTGGATCTAGAGATCGAGCCGCCTCAACGCCTAACAAAGATCTGGCCGCAATCGGAACGCGCGGGGCGCTCGACTAGCTCGAGCTCAAGATCCAACTCAGTTCGGAAGCAGGACGAACCGAAAGGAGGCGAATCTGAACAGCTCTGTTCTATATGGCGTCATGGACCAAATCTTCCCTGGCATCCGAATCCTGACAGAACTGAGCCGGGCCTCAAGCTCGAGCTGTCTGGGCACATTGCTCGCCCAGAGCTAATTGCAATCGAGACCTTATGGAAGCATAATTTTCCGCAAGAGGGCGAAATTATAAGGGCGAATCCAAAGCGAGGCGAAGTGCATCGAGAAGGGGCGGACCGAAACCCCGACGACGACGACGGCGGACAGCGACGACCGCGACCGCAGTTCCAGCTCGGGACCACTATTTTAGGTATCCACCTGGCTGGCCTGGACGCGTGAAAACACGTGGCTCCAACTCGGGACCACCATGTCAAATACCCTGGTGGGAAATCCGGAAATTCACCAGCCGAAGTAACTGTGTCCGGTTATTGCGCATCTGATGTCGATGTATTGATGTTGTCTGGCTCTAGTGGGCCCCAACGCCGGGGGCTCCCAGGCGACCACATGTCAGATACCCACCCACCCCTGGGTGGCCCGCACGCGTAAAGACAAGTGGTTCCAGCAACCAGCGTTTCGCCTTCTGCGTGCATTCAGGGTACCTTCGCTGATTTTGACGGGCGTACCTTCAGCGCACCTTCGGCACACCTTCAACGAGAGAGAGTGTCCGCTGGCGCGTCCCTTGGGACGTTCCGAGGCGCGTCCTCCTGGCATGTCCTTTGGCGAGTTCGCGCTCCCAGGGCCGCGATCCCTCGTAAATTACGCGGCGCTCACGCTCCCAGGACCACGGCCCCACGCAAACTACGATGCGTCCCCGCCACCAGGGCCGCGATCCCTGGTGGACTGCGCTGCCTCTGCCCTCCCAGGACTGCGATCCCACCTACAGTACGCTATGTTCGCGCTCCGAAGGCCACGCTCCCAAGCAAATTACACTGGGTTCGCGCTCCCGGGGCTGCGATCCCTGGCAAATTAGACTGGATTCGCTCCCAGGGTCACGGTCCCTCGTACATCACGCTGGGTTCGCGCTCGCAGGGCCACGGTCCCTCGTAAATTACGCTGGGTTCGCGCTCCCAGGGCCGCGATCCATCGTGAACTACAACAGGTTCGCGCTATCAGGGCAACGGTCCCTTGTAAAACACGCTGGGTTCGCGCTCGCAGGGCCACGATCCCTCGTAAATCATGCTGGATTCGCGCTCAAGAGCCGTCCGCGCTCCCAGGGTCACGAAGCACCGCGCGGAGGTTACCCAACAGGTCACCCCCCTCTCCAAAGCAGAAACCAATACTTCTCTGCTTGGGGATGCGTGTTCGGGTGAACTTTTGGACCCCCCCGCCATTTCCTGAAGATCAAGCGCTGAATCCGAAACCGCGAATCTTCTTACATTACGCCGCGTCCGCGCGCCCAAGGCCGCGATCCCTCGTGCATTACGCTTGAGTCGCGCTCTTAAGGCAACGGTCCCTCGTAAATTATACTGGGGTCGCGCTCCCAGGGCCGCGACTTCTCACAAATTGCTCAGGATTCGCGCATCCAGGGCCACGATCCCTTCTAACTTTCGCTGGGTTCGCGCTCCGAGAGCCACGATCCCGTGAAAATTAAACTGGGTTCGCGCTCGCAGGACCACGATCCCTAGTAAATTGCACTGCGTCCGCGCTCCCGAGGGCAGCATCCCCAGGCAACATTAAATTGTGCCCGCGCCCCCGGGGGACGACCCCTCGTAAATTACACTGTGTCCGCGCCTTCAGGGCCAGGATCCCTCGTCAATTACGCTGCGCCCGCGCTCCCAGCACCAGGACCCGTGGTAAATAACGGTCCGACCGCACTACCAGAACCACCTGGGTATCCTGTGCCGCCCATGCCTTTCAAGCGCTGCAAAACAAGCCTTTCGCTCGAGACATCCTCAGGTATTCGGCACGCAGGGCGCGCCATCCTCGAGCAGGCACACAAAACGCCAACATGCCTTCTGCAGAACGAGCGCGGGGCTCGAGGCATCCTCGAAAAGGTAAACTTTTCCATATTCGTTGTAAAATTATCGAGTCTCCGACCCTCGTTATGTAGTGGGGACTCAGCGCAAAACGCTCCGCACCATTTTGTACAAGGAAAGAGGAGGTCTGCGGACCCCGTCAGGCAACGAGGATCCGAGATGGGGGGCGCATTTTCCTTGAGCGGGCAAGCGCGAAACGCATACTTTCCACGCCGAATCGGACATTACCTAGTTTTCAATCGAAAAACTCGCCGGAACACCTCAGCATGGCACCAGGGGACAGTGGAACGCAACTAAAAGAGACCCTGGACCCACACCCTTTCTGGGAAAAACGGGCCCAGCAAATGCTGCCCCAAACCGACATCGGCCGCTGTTGGGCAGGCGGCCTTTTGCCTCAAATGAACAACGTCCGCGCCAACACCAACAGCGAGTCCTGTTCATCATGAGTTGGACATGCTGTCGGTCTTCGTACCTATTCTTTCCGTACCCGTTTCGATCGAACCGACCAAATGGGGGCCAGAGCAGACGGCGTCGAAGGATCGCACCGCATGGCCGATGCATCACCGATGCATCGGCGACGTCAGGACGTAGAAAACCAGACTCCAGATCGCGCCGCGTCGCCGATGCATCGGCGATGCGGCGGGCTCCTTCGACCCCGTGGCCCCAGTTGGGGTGCCCCGGGAGAACGCAGCCCGGGAGAGATCCGGGAGGCCGATTTCTGGAAGGGAGGTGCCCAGGCTTCCGACGGCTTGAGAACTACCGCGAGGGCACCGGATTCTACCCTTAGCTAAGGAAGCCGGAGCCTGGAAACTTAGGTAAGGAAGACAGAGTCTGGAAGGTGGTGGAACACCAGTTGAGGCTTGGCCACGGATGCCACCGCAGCTCGTCAAAGAAGGAATCCTCCAGGGTCTGAAGCCTCCTGGGCGCATTCCTTAACGAACGCTCCCCAGACCTCCTCTCGCTGCAAAAAATCACATTCCTGGTCTCTGGGGGGCCCCAAATCACACTCCGGGACCATCAAAGTAGTAGTACTCTGGAGGAGGGCCTGGTCCCAGGAAGAAGGTCCAGACCTCTGCGGGGTCAGGGCCTGGC